GAATTCACCCGATATGGCTCCCTGCGATTTTTTTCTGTTCGATCGAGTCAAAAAACCACTACGGGGAATGCATTTTAACAGCCGAAAAGAGGTAATGGAAAAATCGAAGACTGCTCTGATGGCTATACCGACAATAGAGTTCCAGAAATGTTTCGAGAGCTGGATCAAGCGCTGGCATAAGTGCGTTGGAGTCGATGGGGAGTACTTTGAAGGGGACAATATCACTTTTGATGAATAAACTTGTATTTTGAATTTTCTGAATGAATTCCGGGAACTTTTTGATCAAAGTGGTATATATATATATATATAATCTAATAAAATATTATAGATATGCAAATATAGTTTTCGTTTAATTTATAGACATATTACTGTTTAAATAATTTTTTTACTGTTATATAAAGTTTTTATACATTTTCGTACAAATTTAGTTGATCGTATTTTTTCGCAGGTATTTATTGGCAGACCGATGCTGTGGGGCTTAGCATGTAATGGCGAGAAAGGTGCTTGTGAGATTCTTGAACTTATGAGGAAAGAAATTGATTCTACATTCGCATTAACTGGTAGAGATAATGCATAATTTTTTACATGAATGTTATTGATTAATTTAGTGAAATATTTTAAAAATCAGTTTTTTCTAGGTTGCAGGTCCGTAAAAGATGTTACACGGGATATGGTAATTCATGCATCTTACTATAGCCATCTATAAATTAATTTCACATCAGACAGTTACAGATATGTACAAATATGGGGCGACAGTTGTTTGACCATTTGTAATTGACCACAAGCCACTCACTGAATTTGTCTCAAAAAAACTAGGCACTAGAATAACTGGTCAAACGGGACGCTACCACAAATATGTACATATGTTCGAAGGATATCGATATAAAATTTGATTTTACTGATGATTTTTTGTTACTAAAAATATATTTGCTAAGATTGACTTCAGAAAATTATTAATCATTTGTTTCACTTTTATGTATTTTCTGTAAATATATATATATATATATGCATATTGCTCTCTTATATTAATTTACCTTTTTTTAGTATTAGGCTCATCAGCTTAAATAAAAGACTCTTGTATAATTTTAAGGTTTGCAATATTGTATTATAAAAACTTTCACATTTGTACTGTATATATCAGTTTTATTGTTCCCAAAACGGGTTACAATTCACCTCATACTTTTTTTTCAATTCTTTAAGCAATCTCTTATAAATTGAGACATATAAGATACGGATTGGAATCTCTCTCGCTAATTACAAATCGCTTTTATATAGTATTACGCGTTACTTTGTACTGAATTCGTCCAAATTAATCATTATTTGATCAAATGGACTTCAACAACTAATCACATTGCATTTTATACCATTGTGCATGTTATTTATACAATAGATATAGTTATATCAATAGATACAATAGATTTTCTAACATTTCCTAATCTTAAAGAATTGCTTTTAAGATACAGAGAGAGAGAGAGAGAGAGAGAGAAAGAGAGATATTTAACTGGTTACATTTTTTTCTTGTGATAAATGATATCAAATTTTGAAATTTTGTTTATTTAAAATAAGAATGAACTTTTATGAAAAAATTTGAGATATTTTTGGTATATTAATGTCAAATAATTATATGCTATAAATAAATGTCAAAAGAAATAATAGAAAAGATTAAGGAACATTAGTATTTTAGTAGTTTAGAGCATTGGTAAAATTTGTTATATAAGTAAATCATAATTATTAATACCACATATAGCTAGAATTGTTATTAATACATATTAATAGCAATTCTGCTATGCATTATTAGATGTACTTTTCAAATCGTAAATTAATTTTAATAAATTGCTACGTTTTTTCGAAACCATTTCTGGAACGATACTACAATCACAATCGCTTACTTTAGAATTTTTTATAGCATGTCTAGATATTATATCTGCTAAACATAAAACATATAAACCGCAATCGTAGCTATTATTTTGTTGCGGACAATCCATTTCAATATATTTTCTCTCTTGTTTCTCAAGAAAATATTTTGTCACTTTCCGTGCAAGCTTTTTCGCGGAAAAGCCATTAATACCGCTTGACGAATCAAAGTGATAACACATTTTTTCCATACGAGAATATACTAATAAGCTCCAATGCGAGCCACCTGCCTCGTTGCTATCACAGTCATTAAGAGGAAAGAATATAAAATCATAATTTGTAGCTTCAATAGGATCCAGAAATATATTATATTGTGAAGAATCCTGCATCTTTAATAACTGAGCTACTTCGGGTCCGATAAATAATAATTGGCTTTTATTATCCTTCCTATATTGTTGATTCAGATATTCGAAATAGAATCCTATTATAATGTCATTAAGCCAGTCATTTCTCTCCAGTAATGCGACATCCGATGTCCTGAGTAAGTAGTCATGATAACTTAACACAATATCATTCTTGTATGGATTCGTCGGATGAGCATCATGGGATAAGTGCTTTGAATTTGCAGGCAAAACCGGCATAGTACTAAAATCAGAAATATAAAATTTAATATATATTTTTATCTGGAAAAATGTAACAATGAAAAATAAATTTAAATATTTTATTCTTAAATAAAGCAACTTGTACATTCTTAAACTTATATAACAATAAACAAAACGTTAAGCAAAGTACGCTAGCAATTTGCTAGAAGATTCAAACAAAATATTGTAGGAAATTGATATCTACATATATGTATTCTGTTTCACGCATGATGCATCGTATATTCTTGTTATTCACCGTTGTTAAAAACCCGAATGTTAAAAAAGGACAAATGATATATATTACGAACATTACAGCTATGTTCTGCCAGTAGAATAATCTGACAGCAGATTGCCAGTAGAATCTGTCATTCTATAACCATTCAAATAAAATATTTTTTATTATGTAACACCAGTGATTCATGATTCATTCAATCTTGCTCTGGAACATATGTATTACATAAAATTAAAACTTGTAACTATATTATCTACTATCCCCGTATTAATTTTGTCAGATCCTTAATAAGTCGGTATTGATAAAATTTTAATTTATTGTTTAAGCTTTGGAAGATTCTTTAAAAGAAGCATTATATAATCTCGAAGAAAGATTGAAGATGCATACAATTCACTATTTAGATATACTTATAAAAAAAACTTTGCAAGACTGACTGGGGCTGTGGTCAAAGTCTCACTACAAATGCTTTGAAACGTTTGATGGACCAATCAGAAGAATTTTACAAATTGACTAATCAAAAAATGCTTTAAAGCATTTGTAACATCATTATTGACAATACCCTGGTCATTCTTGATCCTTCTTTATTAGATAATAAAAAATCGCTCCGTACATAAATATAATATGTAAAACAGAAAAAAGGCAGCAGTTTTTAAGTTTCATTTCTAATACCCTTGCAATGTATAGAGTATGTGTGAACTTTCGAAGACTACAATTAATAAATACCCATCAAATCTCAAATAACTCAGCTACTTCCAGTTAATGATTACGAAATGACGGATTCTGTTCGATTCTTACAATCAATCTACTATCTCATTTTACAGATCCTGTTGTATTTCTGCTGGTATTCTGCCAAAATAATTTATATCAAACCACTTTGCAAAACACTTTGTTTTTAACAGATCTGGGTATACGTGTCAAAATGCGTGATCAAAATGAATAGTCACAGAGGAGATAGTCACAAGTGCTCGTTTCTTCTTCCGTTATGGATGCCTGTTTCGTTTGGATTGTACTTTCCTTTCTTCTTTCACCTTTTTTTTTCTAGAAATACGTATCCTCTGTCTGAATTATTTATATTTTCTTCTGTATATAAGATATAACGCGTGTTGACGAGTATCATGACGGTGTTTTTAGAAATGTATACATTTTGACGTCATGGCTTCTGATGGCTGCCTCTTATCACGTGATCATGGGTTTGATTCGATTTTTTAAATACACTTGTAAGAAAACCATCTGCGATTTTCCTATCATTTTGTACATACATTCATGTATTCTCATACGTAGAATTTATTTCGAGAAGAAAAATCGTCTCGCGTAAGTTTCGTTTTTTTAAATTTTCAGTTTTTGATATCGGTAAGTTAGAAAATGATAATTCTCTACTTATTCTTTGCTTTAATCAAAGACACTAATTACTTATCAGTAACTATTAATTTTAATCTTAGTTTCATACTTTATCTATTTTTTTATAATTCTTGAAACAAAAAGATGAAAAACAAGTTAAACTGAGATTAAATCGGTACAAAATAGAAATAGACATAAAACTGGAAGAATTAATCGCTGATTAAGTTTCATCGAAATCACGTGATTAAAGTACTTTAATAAGATTTTCTTTTAAATATCAATAAAAAGTGAATCGTGTTTTGTGACATATAAAATATATATATTTATTAAATATTTTTATGTACAAGTTTAATTTTCTTCTTATAAAAAAATATATACATTCTTTAAAAAAAATATTGTTTTATAATAATCATCATAGTTTTCTTATTTTTAAAACAATCTCTTCGTGCCACATTTCTTCATGTGCCATAAATAAGCGTTCAGTGACTAAAGTATCGCAATTTGGTTAATTAGTTATTGTGACGAGATTGTTTTAAATATAATGATTTGCACAATGTAAAGCAGAGCGCTTTACAATTTTTAATCACAACAGTATTTTAGCAAAAAAGACTAAGAGTGTAGATAATGAAACATTTTTTTCTAACAAAGCCTATTGAGAACAAGTTCGTCGAACATATATTGTCTTTTTAGCACCTCGTTAGGTACATAGTGGGATCCTGCAAATCTACAAAAATATCGGCCAATCTCGTTGTGAGTAATCCATCTTGGTGGATATGTAGCTATTAAAGATTCTAAAATAGAAAAATATTTTATGTCGCACTTATACGCATATAAATGACATCATAAAAGTACATGTATATTGTATATACACAAGCACATTTAGTAATCTGTTTGTACCTTCGGCAGTATAATGCTTATTACCGTCTTCACCAAGGATAAAGTAAAACGGTTGCGTCATAGAATTAAATTCTGACACATCTATTATCATCAGTTCTGGATTAGTTACATGTCGTGAATTATATGTCTTATCCCATCCAAAAATCACGCCTCTATAATTCGGAATATGCTTTTTGAAAGTTACTATCATTCCAATTGCATATTTTATTTTTTTACATCTTGTCTTTGGCAGACTGATATTTTCAAGTGATGGTAGAGTCTGAAAAATATAGGTCTCTCATAATGTTAACCGACATCTTTTTTATACATTTATTTTGTAAACTTTTACTGTTTCAAAATTATTTTTCATATTCAAATTGCAATTATTATTTATGTATTGATTATATTATATAATTAATATAATATTATTAGTTATGTATATTAATAATTAATATGATTTTAATCAATATAATTCATGAAGTGAGTTGATCCATTGACCATATCTATTCATTCAGTACAATTGCAGCGAGCATTAACATATTATGCACTACATATAAAGCTTTATATAATCTATAATTCATGACAGAATTTTATTTTAAAGTTTATGCATCGAGTAATATAGAAAATATGTGAACAATCAGAATCATAATTATAATGCTTTATTTTTAGCAATAAAAGACATTAAATGTGCGCAATGTAAGTATACCCGTGATTGATCAATTGTATCTGTTGTAATGAAAATTGAAAATTTTTAAGCACTTTGAATATAAGTAGTTTTGTCCAATCGAATAAGCAAACGGATTTTATCGATATAAATATAAATGACAAACTTTAACTTATGTATGTACCCAGATAGCCAAGTCTATAGAAAGCAGATTTTTTTAAATGTCTGCTACACACTATGCCAAAGAAATAGCAACAGAATTGTTACAGAATTAGATGTACATAATACTGTTGACAGACTGCTAGAAAAAAAAACAACAGAGTCAGATGTCAGCAGGATCTGCTCAGGATTCTACTAACAATTTGCCTTCACATTATGTCGCGATAGGCGATATTAACAGAACACAAGCCTAATACAGACGCAGTTGATGGCAGACTGCCGTCATTTTCTGCTCGAATCTGCTGAGTCTGCTAGAAGACATTTTGCTATCTGGATACTTACTGTATCAGAAATCTAGAAAAAGTTCTAAAATTAATGCTGTTACAATTAAAGAATTCTTCATGACATTCTTTTATCATATTTGTATGTATTTCTGAATAACTGTATCACATTTTTTAATAACCATGTCAATAAAAGAAAAAAATTGAATATTATATACAATTGTAAATCAAATTATAGTTTGTTTAACGCGTTAGAAACTACGGTAGTGTCGTTGCGCTTGGCTTAGCGCCGAGACACTACCGTGTCTTCTGATACAAGAATTTCTTTCTCAACTGTATAATTATATTTATAATTTCATATGTAAAATTAGAAATAGAATTGTGTCACGAAGTATAAAGTGGGTTTTATATATATAAATTGCATATTTTTTATTATAAATTATCATAAATACGTACCATTTTTTTCTGCATATAAAATTTAAATTTATTTAGCAGTTCTTCAGCTTGAATTGCTTCCATAGACGTTCTGTCACAACTGTCCTATATATATAAAAAAACAAAGTTTACTTCAAAGCACTTCCTTTATAGTTGCTGCATTAACGCACGAATATATGAAAATTAATATATCACGACTTAAAATTTGCTTATGCAACAAATATATAAGAAATTAAAATTTTTTTTACTCATATTAGTAATCATTCTTCTTGATTAGTAATCATTCTTACAATAAATTCTTATCATATTGCGAAAAAACAAGTTTACAAAAAAAAAGAGAAATTTTATGAGAATGTCAGAATTTGATTTATATATAAATTAAATTTACATACCAGTATCCTTTGCAGTGAGCTTAAGAGACCTGATAAATTCATTTCATTTTGCATATAATGACGACCTAGTGCTCGAATTCCATCAATATCATATGGCTTTATCATATAGCGGAATTCCATCAATGAGCGTATTTGCAAAGTTCTGTCATGATAATGTTGATAGTTAGGATTAACCATTTGTAAGTGATAAATCATCCGTAACACCACCTTAAAACGAAGATATGTATAAACTAAGTTAACAGTGCAATAAATGGAAAAATTAATTTCTCTTCATATATAACTCTCTCTTATATATAATGTATGTCTTATTGATTTATCTGTGACTAATCTGTAATATTTTTACTACTTATTTCTAAATTTAATAAGATATATAAATAATGACCAACCTCTGTAGGACTAATCTCATTGTGTTTATTAAAACTTTCTATGGGACATCTTCTACCACGAGTTCTGGGACAATCGTTTCTACCCACAATGGCTCCACCATGCAAGATGTCAATATAGAAATATTCTTCATCTTCAGATTTTTCTGTAATACTATATAAGCAATAAAAAAAGGATATAGTTCACATATGCATGTATATGAGGTCTGTTCAAATCGGATCTCTGCATATATCTTTGTTCTTGAGCATCCTATTATGGAAAACAGGTATTCAGGTGGACCTTTAGGAGTACCCCCACCAAGCGGTATGATCCAACAACTGTTCAGTCGGCAACGGTACGCAGTTGTGTGAGCGTCGAAAACTCCGAGCGTCGCATTTCACAATGACTGAACGATAACGCACTTGCTCATTCATCTCATCTGATTCAGAAGTTTTTGACTAAACACGGCATTGACTGTACGGAGGTTGACGAAGTTGGACAATGCCGTGTTTAGTCAAAACTTCTGAATCAAGTGAGATGAATGAGCAGGTGCGTTATCGTTCAGTCATTGTGAAATGCGACGCTCGGAGTTTTCGACGCTCACACAACTGCGTACCGTTGCCGAATGATCAGCTGTTGAGTCATGCCGCTTGATGGGGCTACTCCTAAAGGTCCTTTATACCTTAAATACTGAATATCTGTTTTCCATAATAGGATGCCCAAGGACAAAGATATACGTAGAAGTTCGATACTTTTTGAACAGACCTCGTACATTTATATAAATATATATATAGCTGTGTGCGTGTGTGTGTGTGGTACATGCACAAAATGTCTTATAATTCTTGAACATATTTCTGAACAAAAAGATAGAACAAATGTTCTTATGAACTTGGTTCGCAAATGCTGTGTTGTTGAAATAATGGATACAAATACGGTAGTATCAAATCATGACATTTAAAAGTTTCAGAATTATTTTTTTGTTTACAAGAAATGTTTAGTGTTCTCCATCATTTTCTATATATGCCTGAGGTCGATGTATACATGATTGGCGCATTATATCAAATCTTTTTATCCATTATTTCTATAACGAAGCATTTGCGGCTTTGTGTTCATAGGAATATTTGTCCTTTCTTTTATTCAGGAACACAGTCACAAAACTTTAAAACACACTTATGATTTATTTTATCAATATGTAAATATATGATAAGTCTGACAAAATAAATGCTTCTAAATTATACTTACGATTTTGGCTTCCAACTTAAAAAAAAGTGAGTAGGAAATGTTATTAGATCACAGCGCACGCCAAGTCTCCTTGCTACACTTTGGAATATTATTGCCAGAGATACAGCATCACCAACTTTGTTTTCTAAAACCTAAGTATTACAAATTACATTATTTCATGTGTGTAAAAGAATGTCCCAGACTTCGCGTGAATAGTTTTTAAATGAAAAGAATTTAAATTCAGCCAACACAGAACTCGAAATTCGCGCATGGCACATGGTACAGTAGTGAAGATGTTTAGAAAAATGCGTGAAATAGAACTGATGCTTGAAAATATCTTCACTATTGTGCAGTGTGCTATGCTTAAATGCACGAATTTCGAACAGTTAAATTAGCTAAATTTAAATCCTTTTTATTTAAAAACTACTATAGCCTTGACATTTTGATATTAGAATTTTCGTCTTGAAATGATTTCAGGAGTCTGTTATTAACGAGTGTCACGCAAAATCTGGGACATCCTGTATATATTGAAATATATTGACATTTTACGTTTTTATATTAACATAACAATATAAATAACAATATGAATATAAAAATATGCTCATGATGTAAATGTAACATATCATAATCTATATCTCTTACGCAATCTATAAGAATGTCCTCCAGTTTATATACATAAAGGTCTGAAACCAAAGATCCACAGAAACCTAATTCGTCAAATAAAACTATTTGAAGCATATTTATTATCTGTTTTTCTTCCTTCTTGCTCCATTGATTATCGTTAATGTTGTTATTTTTCCAAAAAGAAAACTGCTTAGCGGACATTGAGAATATTGGATGCTCCCAATGTGCCTTTTTAAGACGTTCCAATACCTGTTGTGCAATGTTATCTAGCGATGCTTCCACATCAAAATAAAAGATACGTTTTAGAGGTTGATACCATTGTGCTACGATAGTAGCTGCCTTTTCTAGAAGTTGCTGTTCTTTGGGATAACTTATAAATTCCTGCCATGCGTCCTTTGTATGACGCTGCTGTAAATGTGGAAGAAGTTCTTTGCTGTAATATGTATATGTTAAATTACAGTCAGGTAATCTGAAAAATACATGTACATTAATTGTACAATTCATCCATATATTTGTGTGTCTACAATATTAATAATTTATTAAATCTTACATTGGGGACATTGTAAGTAGGTGTATCATTTCATCCTTAAGAAAATGGTAATTCATAATATGAGCGCCCATATTTGGACAGAATAGTGCATCGAAATGTTCCATGTCACTTTCAGAAAAATTATCCTCTTGAAAGAATCTCTCGGACATTAGCGACAAATGACTCCGTAATTTATTTCTACATTGAATGCTCGCTTTTACTTCATCTTTAAAATTTATACGTTCATTATTTTGTATCCGTTTGTCATAAATTCTTTTCATATGAGGCCATCTAACATTAAAACCAGAAATACTTCGTTATTTTCAAAAATTTTAAGTGAGGGTATCTATAGAAATTGCGCATATCATTAAAAAATTATAAATTAAAAAAAAGTTATACAAAGTAACAATCAAAACTAAAATTAAAACTTTAACTCGTGATATTACTGTGGTAGTTTAGTAGAGTTAGCATTTCTCCATGACAGAAAAATCATTTTGGTGCCCGTTTCAAAGGACTACATATGTAGTATATAAATTCACACAGAACATTTGATACTAAAGTATGCATTCAGATAAATTTAAATGGATTAAAGTTTCAGTTTATTTTGATCGATTCTTGTTTACACAGTGCAATAAGTTAAAGTAAACAAATATACCAGGAGATTGTTTCACTTCATCTTATTGCAGCATGTGCATCAGAGAGTTCATTGATAACAATGACTTTACTCATTTCGTCTTTCTTTTCTGCAGCATAGGACAGATGTTAAACTGTCGTTGTTAATCATTCGTTTCTAACCTTGTCTTAACTTTAATTTTTGCTTATTAAATATAAAATATCGTGTCCTTGAAGACAAAACAATAACAACAAAGTCATATGAACAAAAAAGATCAAATATTTAATCTCTCCGAATATATTCATAAAAAAGTTATGATCAAGTTTGATGTAAACACGAAATTAAGTGTCCACATAAAGAGAATCGATCATGGACTAAATATTAGGAATTTGCGTTCCTTGAATTGAATTCTTGTATCGAATAAAGCGGATAATTCGAAACAACTCGAAAATTGAAATTAACTAGATGATATTTGCGAATAATCAATTTCAAATATAAATTGACATATTCTTGAGTTCGCATACGTCATTTTACCATTTGTGTCAAATGTCAGAGAAAGTTTTTTGACGAAATCAAAGGATATGAATTTGGGCAGTTTTGGACAAATTTAACTTGACTAAATAAACCGCGATGAGAATTTCGAGAGGATGACGAATTTACCTCTGATAAAGTTTCATTTGCCATAGCGTGTTGTTGTGATGGATCACGTTGAGAAATTGTCTGCATGTTAAACCGAAACTTATGACATCCTTGACGTTAACGACTTTTTGTTGTAAGATGATGTAGATTACCTCGGTGGACAGATTCTTTATTGTCGTCATTGCAAAAAATTCGATATGTAAGAAATTATAATCCGTATCAACTGCAGTAGATAAGTTCCCTTCTTTTTCCCAAGAATTTCTACTAGAGCTGACTAAAGCTATCAAGATAACCAAGAGCTACTACTTACATGGTGGGTTTTTTATACAAGGTGAGTCGTTTCCGTGGATGCGCAGTAGCCTAAAAGTAGTGGGGAGTGGGGCAGCAATCATGGGGGGCCCATTCGATTAATCCAATATGGCTGTGTTTATTGTTTCAGAGCACTGCGTGCGGTGTTATTACGATTGATTACGACTATCGTGTAAAACTGTAAGTAATAAACGAATATATATGAAAGTTTTGTTTAGAATATATGCAATGTAGTACAATATATAATAATAGAATATATAATAGAACATATTAACTTCTAATACTGTGTTTTTATTAATCATCTCCTGTGAACATTTGAATTCCGCGCGCATAAAATGGGCCCTTCGTAATTGGTTGACAAGGAGCGGAATCCATAGACGTTGCTCAAGATTCGAGATGGTCTTAAGCTAGTGCATGAACCAATCAGAGATCGGTATTAGCATCTTAAGACAATGGCTGCGTTCAGCAGATTCAACCGTTTTATGATTGTCTGTTGAGATAGGACCATTCTTCTAGATCTAAAAGTATGATCCAATCAGCGCGAAGGAAACTTCCAACAGTTGCAAAACAAACGTTCTGCTGAACGCACCCATTGGTCGCGTTCAGCAAACTCAACTGTTGCGGAGCGGATCAGTGAGCTCTCGCTGCTATTGGATAATCTAAAAGAATACACCAATAGCAGCGAGCGCTCACGGATCCGCTCCACAACAGTTGAGTCTGCTGAACGCGACCAATGGCTGCGTTCAGCAGATTCAACCGTTTTATGATTGTCTGTTGAGATAGGACCATTCTTCTAGATCTAAAAGTATGATCCAATCAGCGCGAAGGAAACTTCCAACAGTTGCAAAACAAACGTTCTGCTGAACGCAGCCATGTTGGAGCATGCGATGCGAACAAACCTCTTGTGTAGCATCAAATGGACCGTAGCCATGGTTTCTGATAGGTTGAAATTGTTATTTCCTGTTCCTATTGTCTTTTTATTGTGTTTCCAGCTATGAGCTTATAGAATTGACTAGTCAGAGTTGAGTATTCCCCTCTCATTCGATTGTAAAAGAGAAACCACTCCTCTAATTCTACAATTCTTTATTTGATTCGTGTATCATATAACTACACGCATGCGCAGAACGCGCATACTCAATTTAATGGTGGATATACGTATATTCTAGGCGGAAACAAGTATATCCGGTATATCGTGGTATATCGACGCATCTTGTGATATTTCACGATTCTCACGATGTGTTGTCGCTGATTTTGCGAGTATCTGATATTATATCTGATAATTCGATTAATAAGAGTAGTACGACGAGTACGTGCGCATCGGCGATTACATCGTTATCAGTTACTCCGAAGCCGTAACCATAAAGTAGAAAAGACGATAGCACCGTTAACTCGAGAACGCTAACATGGGCTCCAACAAACGTCACAAAACTGAAAAATCTCGCGATGCCAAAAAGAAGCGTCATCGCAGTCGCTCCAGAAGCTACACGCCCGACCGCGAAAAGTCAGAGAAGCATAGGCATCATAAGAAACACAGGAGGAAAGAGCGCAAAGACTACGATAGCGATGGTAAGAGAATTTGACAGTGTATTATAATATAGATATATATATATATATATTTTAAGAGATTATATGTAACTATAAGAAATAAGAATATATTTACGTATAATTGTAATAGTTAATAATTATATATAATTATAGAAGAAAAAGAATTTTTAACTTTCAGTTGAAATCGTTAATGCTCCGCCGCCACCAAAAATATCCAAATCATCGCATCCGTCGACACCTCCTCCGCCTGAAATCTCGAAACAGCGCAGTCCATCCCCTGCTAAAGGTGGAGCGTCGCAAACTTCGTTATCTATTGAAGAAACCAACAAAATTCGTGCAAAATTAGGATTAAAACCATTGGAAGTAGATAATACATCTAAAGATGATCCTAGCAAAATCAAAGATGATTTGGGCGAGTTTTATCATAAACCTGCACCAAACAATAGTGATAAAGTAAAAGCACAGAAACTGAGAGAAAAGATAGGTACTCAGAAGGAAAAGAGACAAATTGAGGCAAATTTGTCAAAAATGAAAAATTTGGGTGAAATTGATTCGGATGATGATACCCAAGCATGGATCAGCAAATCTAGGCACCTAGAGGAAGAGAAAAAGAAAGCAGAAATGAGAGTAATATCCTAATAAAACTCAGCATCTTTATTCTTATTAGCATCTTATGTTGAATATATTACTGTATATATATTATATAAATTTGTAAAATATTGTGTTTTGAAATTGCAAAGACATGTTGGTGCTTTCCAGCAAGGACTCAGTCAGACACTGTTATGTTAAACAACAAGGATGTAATGATTCACTGTGTTATACTGTATCTGACTGTGTCCTTGCTGGAAAGCACTTTATATATATATATATATACATACATATTTCATAATAAATTCACATATTGTATAATAATATTTTATTAAAGTTCTTTTATGTATTCTGCTGTAAATTTTTTAAAAAGAACTTTATTTTAATTTAAGGCAAAAATGCTAGATCAACTAGATGAAGAATTTGGAATCGGGAATTTGGTTAAAGAGGAAATATATACTGCCCGCAACACAGCATATACAGAGAAAGATTTAAAAGGCCTTAAAGTCGAGCATAATATTGTGAGTATAATAATATATGATTCTAATAATACATATTAATTATTATTTAAGCTCTTGATACTTGTATATCATGTCCATTAATTATATAAAGTTTTCTATTTTTTTTATTTATAATAAATTTTAAACAGGAAATATTTTGTAGGAAACGTTTGAGGAAGGCAAGACTGTAATCCTAACATTGAAAGATCAAGAAGTATTAAATGAAAATGATGATTTACTTGTAAATGTGAATATGATTGATAATGAACGTTACAAACGTAGCGTTTTAAATAAAATTAAGAAACCTACATATGATCCATACGCCGATGAAAATTTCGACGAATATGGATTCCCTAAAAATAAGATTTTAGAAAAGTATGATGAGGAAATCGATGGTGAAAAAAAAGACAACTTTTTGTTGGGTGCTAATAATGCCGTAGAATTTAAACGACGTCAGATAGAGACAGTGAAGCAACGCTTGGCAAATAAAAAATTAGAAACTCTACAAATGGCAGAACCAAAATTAGCGAGTGAATATTATAATGAAGAGGAACTTGCAAAATTCAAGAAACCAAAGAAGAAGGTAGAAAATTGCTTTATAATTGCTAATATTCTTTAAATATAGAGTTTCTTGGTATGACTATATATTTGATACATTTTATGTTTATAATTTATTTTTAAAATATATAACATGTGTTCTCTGCAATAATATAAAATAATACATAATATGATTATAGATTCGGAAAATTAGAGCGAAAAAGAAATTGAAAGCAGATGATTTAGTCCCCGTGGACAATGATTATCTTCGAGATCTTGGAAGTAGGAGAAGAAAGAAACCAGAAGATTCGAAGGATAATGATACTTTAGATGTTGACGATTTAGAAGGTAAAGATATTTAGATGAGTTTGGAAAAGTTAAGGATAAAAAAGTGGTGCTTATTTGAATATTAGGTATCTGTAAATTGTAAGTGTAATTTAATTATGTAACGAAACATTTCTATTTATTTCTACTTGATTTTTTTTGTCAGTTCTTTGTGTAGTATGTACATTGTTAAATTATATACGTGTATATAATTTTTGTGTTCTTCAATTTTCTATGTATTGAATTGTATTATTTTTTCGATTTATTAAAATTATTGCGAACAGCTCCTGTAGAAGATCTTACTGGAGTAAAACTTGAAGAAGACGATAAGGAATTAGAATTACAATTGGCTTTAAAGAAAACTCAACGTTTAAAGGAGGGACATTCAACTGGCATTCAGAAAACTATTGAAACAATAAAACAAGAAATTCTTAACTCTGAGGAAAGTCAATCTGGAAATATTGTTCTTAATTCTACTGCAGAATTTTGTAGGACCTTGGGTGATATACCCACTTATGGACTCGCTGGAAATAGAGAGGAAAATGGACAGGAACTCATGGTATACTACATAACATATTAGTTAATTGTATTAGAATATTGTTGCATTTTTAATACAATTTAAATGTTGTAGGATTTTGAAATGGACGGAATTAAAGAGGAACCGCCTGCAAATGAAGAAGAGGACGATGGTCGTGGTGCTTGGAATACAGTGCATTTAGGTATTTCATATGTACTGATGCAGATTAATTTTATATAACAAATGATAACAACATATAACAGATAATAAATATATTTTCCCATAAAAAAAGAAAAAGAAAACAAATCAATGCATTCTTACAACTTAAAAAAATTGAAGTACTTCTTATAATTGTTTTTTTCTTAAATGTAAATTAAATTAAATTTCTGTAATTAGATGAAAACATTTCGGAACCAGTTGTAATGGAGGCAGCAATTCTAGATGCCGAGCCATCACTCGGACATGGGGTAGGTGGAGCTTTAAAGTTAGCTATGAGTAAAGGTTACTTGCAGAAAGAAGACAGCAATCGCCCTTCAGCGTCACGTTTCGCACATCTGCAAGCTCAAAATTATTCGATAGAGGACAAAACATACGGGTAAGTAAGCTATGTATTACTGCGATTCGATATACGATGATCTTCTTACGTGCTTCAAGTATGTATCGTGTCGCGCGGAAGAAACACGTAAGAAATGGTCCTTATGTCGAATACGCTTCCACAAGCATTGTGTTAGACAAGTCTCTAGTGAATTTCAAACTGTCAGTTAACAGTTTTAAATAGAGCCCGGAAATCGGTGCTCGGAACGGGTGATCCGCTACCACTACGAGAGTTTACCGCTTAATCGGAGGTGAACACAAGGCCCGAGAAGAGAGTAGGATTTGTTAAGGTATGTTTATGTTATGCGATTCCGTTTCTGCGAATCGTGCTAAGATTCTAGATGAGTCTGCTCATGGGAAGAGTCAAATGCTAGATGTTAGATTGCAAAATAAGTCGACATAAAAGATGTTCAGAAAAGATTTTCTTATCTTGACTCTGTACATTGTGACTATAATCGTTATTTAGGAACGATTTGCATGTATCTAACACAAGCCAGTATGATGGATAATTTTACGCGGCATACAATCTATGCTCGTCTATTAGATATTAAAATGTCTGACATTTTCGAACGCACTTAAATTTTAGATAAATATAAGAATGATAAAAAAAATATTTATCTTTACGTGCATGAATTTTAATATTTAATATTTATTTTTGTGTCAGTATATGACATAGAGTACATATACAATTCGTTTATACTGAAAAATAAATGATGATTAATATAGAATTTAAATAACTTAACATATCTTAAAATTATTTTAATTTAATCGCATAATGTAATGTATCTTGAAGATTCACGAGCATATTCTTTATAAAAACTTGTTTATACTGGTAGTGGACACAAGTTCAGAACACCGTATTTCAAGGGCTTTAATTTTTTTTTTTTTTTTGTATAATATCGAAACCTAGTTATATAAGACGATAACATAGTACAGTTGCATTTCTTTAGCTGATATCTTTGAAAACTGATTTGAATTTTATAGATAAAGAGTTAATAATTTGTATGTCTATTTAATTTGCTCGTTCATGTATTATTTTCGTTTCAGGGATGATGATAAGTTTGGCAGAAGAGATCGTTTTAATGGACCGACATCTGATTTTAAGGAGAAGGAAGGTTTCAAACCGAATGTTAAGCTTGAGTATATTGATGACGATGGGCATGTCTTGTGCGCTAAGGAAGCTTTTCGATATCTGTCGCATAAATTTCATGGGAAAGGTCCAGGAAAAAATAAGGTTTTTATATTGTATATAGAGCATTATGCATATACAGGGTGGGGCATTTTAATCGCCCTAGGCGAATATTTCAGAAACTAAAAGAGATACAAGAAAAAGTTTTATATGAAAGTTGTAAGGTTTCTTAGGGGAAAGAAAGTGGACATAACGGGTTTTGGATAGGGGGCACTACCCCAAATGTTGACCCTGACTGACAAAGTCAAGTCAAGGTCAACATTTTTTTAATGAAACCCCCAATTTTTTATTGCATATTGTAGTATACCTCGAGAGCATTCCAAAACGCTATAATGAAATATTTTTTCATAAAGTACTTTTCGAGTTATAAGTCTTGAATGTTATAGTTTCTTTGGTAATGGATAATGCTAATGCTAGCGGTACTGTAACATGCAAACCTTATTCTACCTTCTTTCCCCCCAAAAAACCTACAACTTTCATATAAAACTTTTTCTTGTATCTTTCTTAGTTTCTGAGATATTCGCCTGGGGCGATTAAAACCTATCCTGTATATGAACTTACCGATAACATTTATTACTATTTTAATCAAAATCAATATTCATAGTTGCAATAATTCTCTAATATTTTAGGTGGAGAAAAGAATGAAGAAAGCAGAACAAGAAGTTTTAATGAAACGAATGTCTTCAACAGATACACCTTTAGGTACATTAAATTTATTGCAAGCGAAACAAAAGGAAACTCAATCACCATATATAGTGCTCAGCGGCAGTAAACAGATGCAAACGTAAGGATATTCAATTTATTTAAAGATAAATCAAGAATTTTTTAATATGTCAATATTTTAAATATATATATTATCTTTTCCTATAATATTTTTTTATTACGATTATTTTTTTATTATACCAATGAAAATTCTAATACACAAATGATTTTTTTTGCAGGACTAGCATAGCTAAAACAAAACATTAAAAAATAGTAAACGTAATACAAGGATGAAAATTGTATATAACCTTACATATATGTATAATGTAGCATCTGAAAATATATGAGTTGAATTTATAATTTAATGTGAAGTTTATAAAGTAGGAATGAAAAGAAAATTACGTATTTTTCTCAATGAATCATGAACATCTTTCTTAATGAATCATGAACGATAATAAATACAATAATAAATATTCAGCAAATTTATGACTTAAAATCAGTCAGTTGCTTCTGCGCTGCTTGTCTAATTCTGTAATGTATCATTGAAAAAGTAATAGCGAAAGTAATAATTTTATAGATATTACTTTATATAATAAAATACTTCACGATGCATGAATATTTTTGATTAAATCACATGTTCCACAATATGTAATTTAGACTATTTTTTAATTATTCATGTTATATTTTATATTGATGTATAAAGTAAATATAGCAACAAGAAGAACAAAGAATCCAAATAATTAAAAAATAGATAAAATTATTTTGTGAAGATAGATGTAAAATGATTCCTTCATTATTTTTTAAAAATATGCGTCATATAGTTTATAAATTTATATATTTTTAAAAATTAAAATACTTAATAAAATATTTATTAATATTATTAAGTTATTTTTATTGAATATTTAAATATTTTTATCTACTATCACAATAAGATTAGCAAGTCGAGAAAACAAATAAAAATTTAAGTATTTCTTAGTTTGTAATACTATATCTACATAATACAAAATATTATCTACTCTAATAAATCTATGTAACAAATAATTACTTATAGAATATCTTTATTTCCGTCATAAGATATGATTATATACTTGCATCATTTCGTTACAAATAATATATCACTACAGTTACGTATAATAACTAGCTGATAAAATATTAGTGACCGAAATACTATAAAATATAATTTTATCATCTTTATGAATATCTTTATTTCAAATTATCTATCAAAATGTCAATTTCAGATATTTTTTATAGAGACTAAGTAATTTGCTATTCTCTAATTTACAATACGTTTGATATGGACGTTAAATATCGCTAATACTACTGTCGCATATAGTAACGATGGTAAAACTTTTCTATAAAGAACAGAGTATAATATATATGCATATGTGTTAACTATCCCTGATATCACAAGGCTTGTTTTGTGCAAAAATAGTAATACTTAGTTTTTTGAATCTTACGGTGCATAGCAGCCAGCCTATACATTAATGGTTTTTATCAATATATTTTTTCAACGATACAACCGCATCTAACATGCGTATATATGTACTGTCACTATATATATATATATATATGTGTGTATATGTGTCTAAATATGTACATATGTATTTATCTTTAAGTAACTAAAATCGTTTTTGTCTTATTATAAAATATTCTAACACAGAGAGAGAAAGTTTGGCACTTCCTTTGGCAATCTGAAACTGGTTGTATATATGTATGCTTTAGTACCTTATTTTGATATCTATCTCATTTTCTGAATACTTAATACGTCTTTATATATAGTTTTAAATGTTCATTTGAAGATAGTAGATTTTCAATCGACTATATATCTGTACGTGAGATTTTCAAAAATGTTCAATATAGTTTCAGAACATTTCACTTTCATAAGTTGTAATGTGTTGCCAAACACATTAGATCTGAATAAGAATAAAAAAGAATTATTTTTCCTTCCCTCTGTCATTATATAAATTAGCCAGTTTTGAAACTTCTCCGTTCAAAATTGGCTAATTTATGGCGCGGAAATCACAAAACTAATCAAATATAAAGATGCAACCTTTAATTTAAGCTACTCATCACCAGTATCGTTTTAAATATATATTTTTTATGAAAATTCTTTTCGATAAGATGCTCTTTGAAGATGCATTTGAAAGTAACTGTTATCTGTTTAAAGGATCGGAGATTTGTTCTGGCTTTTGTTTGTTACTACTATCTTCCTGGCAACTCTGACTAGATTTCACAGGTTTGATAGATTTTAGTTTCGTGGTTCCACTAAACCGGAAATTCACATCGCTACAAGTATCGAGTGGGTGTATTGTTCCTGTCAAATTTGTTAATGAATCATTACTCGTAACTTCGAGCTTACTAGTGGGAACCTTTCTCACAGAACTTAATTCGTATGCTGACTTCGACGATTTCAATTTGAGTTTCAGTGGTAACGATATCGATTTCTCTAAATTGGTAGCTGGAACTTTTAAATTGTTTTCGTTTTGTGGAACCGGATTGTTTGCCAGATTCATAGTATCCGTAATTTGAATGTCGATGTTGACTGTCTTAGGATCATTCTCGTCATTATTTCTTACTTGTTCAGAATACTCATTTCTAAGAGCTGCTAATTGCGCGCGTTGTTTTTGTATGTGATTGTGTGAGTTCGAAAAGAACGAAGAGACTTTCTCTAATTTCGTTGCTAAGTTGGGTTGGCTTAGAGTGGACTTCAATGGGTACGGTGTATCCATGCTGTTATTCCTTAAAAGATTTTGAGATTCTCTTCCAGTTGAATTACTTTTTATCATTCCGTGCTTGTTGTCTTCGATGACTTTTAAAGGATATGATTTGGTACTAGTATTTCGTCGTTTTTCGACCATACTAAGCTGTGCGATTATTCTACGAACTTCGCCCGGGACTTCGATATCAGCACGTGTATCCGCTAATTGCTGAATAAACGCACCCAATGTAGACACTGTTACTTCAAGGCTGCGATTTTGAGACTCAAGTCTATGGATAGTAGTTTGTTGCATTGAACGCGCTGTTTCGAGCCTATGTAAGTTGCTCATAGTAATCTGTAATGTAATTTCAGTACCATAACGATAATAGTATAGTAGAGATTTAGAGAACAATAATAGTAAAAGAACTAAAACAACAGTATCATATAAAAATGATAAATTTATGATAAAATATAGATTAAAAATTGTATGAAATTGTATTTAAAATTGATTTGAGATTTGCTATATTCATTATTTTTCGTACATTAATTACAATTATTCTACTTTACTTAATATTTTAATATTGGTATATATATATATCTATTAATTATTAAATGAATGCGCTTTGTTATCGTTACTTGACAAAATGCGATCCTAAGATTCATACAATGTATCAAGTTTTAATTCTCGATAATTTCTTAATTAAATATATATATATATTTATCAAATATCAGAATTAAAACTTGATATATATATATATATAAACTCGAATTACCTCAAGTTGCTCGCTAAGCTGTGTAAATTCTTGCGTGAGTTGCTTATTTCTTAATTTGAATTTCTCCAAATTCTCCATTTGTGGCTTCACCGATATCATTTCCTCTTGAAGCACTTGGTATTCTACTCTGTATTCGTTCAACTGTTTTGTGATTTCCAAGTCAGGATAAAATACACGTTTCATTATGCGATCTAAACTTTGTTTGTCTATTGCCGGCACACGTGTCTAAAATAAAAGATAGAAACATATAACGATAATAATCATTCATATAAATTCACTTTTTCATTTTTTATTGCTTATAAATGATTAAGGATTGAAATATTATAACTTTACCTTGAGATATTCCATAATTTCTTCAAAGCTATCGCAACATAGCAATTGATCTTGGTGTTCTTCTAATAATGCGACCGATACACGGAAAAGAACTTCGGAGCTTTCCAGAAAAAGTAAATCTATAGAAATAAAATTAGTAAAATTATATACAAACAACTTTATAAATTAAACATATATAATATTATTAAATACGAGGAATATATCTTACCAAAAACTCTGGTTACAAAACCTAAAGGAAATTGGCTAGAAAACAGCGTCAATAACCACGGAGCAGCATATAAAGTAGGTGAAACTTCATGTTTATCGAAATGATTGTAAATACTTGGCAAGCGATCGTGTAACAGTCTAGAGAGTTGATATAAGTGTAATTGCAATGCTGCCATATCTGGCAAGTATAATTTTCTAAGTCCTCGACGAAACATTAGATGCCGTAATAAGAAAAAGGCTTGATCCTCCGCCATCTAATAAGAAAATAAAAAAATATTTCATATAAAAACTAATTATTGTGAAATATGTATACATATGTGTGTGTATTCTATCCAATAATTTACTTAACAATTTATTTCATAACTTTACAATTTTATATATATAGGTATATATATATATAATACAAAACTTAAAAATGCACTCACATGCAATAGAAGCACTCCGGCGACAAAACTGAGGCCTTGACAATAACCAACTTCATGATCTAGCAAGGAGTAGGCCTTCAATAAATTAAAGAGTGCTAATTGACCAGGTCCCAAGGGTGAACTAAAATACGGATGACTCGGAAAAGTTCTTCCTAAATCAATAAGGATAGCATGTTGTTGAGATGTGAGTTGCTTAAGGAGAAGTTCATACGGTGTGTTGTAATTTGGAAAATCTTGAGTATCTATAGGTGGTTGTTTTAAGCAGAATTGCTCGGCTAGAAACTGCCACACCTCACCTCTTTTTCCTTTTGGTACACCTATTAAAAAATTTATATATGGCAAGAGATTAAAAAATTTGTCACATTTTAAGAATATTGCTGAGATACATTTTTATTTCTCATTACCTTGCTTAATAGCATGTAAAAGCATTTGATTATCACATTTAGTAGAGACTCGCGATTCTTTACTAACAAGAAGGTCCCAAACTTCTATTACTTCACGCGCGCAGCTACTAAGCTCGTCGTATTCGAGTTTAATCCTTTTTACTGTTGCCTCCTCTTGACGTTCTATCATTTTATTAAAAAATTTAGATAACATGAATCTTCCATTACATATCAGAGGATTAAATATATTTTCAGATATGAGAGTTGTTACCTCTAAGTTTTGCGTTTTCTTTTTCCATTCTTATAAGTATTAGTTGCTGATTGATCGCTTTCTTCCACAAATCTCGCAATTCTTGTTTTGATCTACGTTTAACGGGCGTTTCCGAATTTTTTAGGATATTGATTTTTTCAATTTCCGTAGCATTATGATCTTTATTCGGCGTCACAACTCTGTTTAGTATCGTTTGCCGCCACGAACTATTGGCTTGTATTGTGCTATTCCCGTCGGTCTCCGTGGGGGATGTTTTAGGTGAGTTACCAACTTTTAAAAAGCTGTGAGAAATAAAATAAGCTCATAAAATACACAATATAATTTAAAAAATGTCCACAAATTTTGGAAATACAATAAAATTGTACTAACATATCCATCATGGAACTCTTTGGTCCGTTATTTACAATTTGCTGTTCAGGCGAAACACGCAATGATCTTGGTCTACTGGATTCCGGTGAAATATCCAATATAGATGATTGTCGCGAATTATCTGGACTCTGACTACCATACTTTTGTATCCCCGTACTCAGATGGTTCGTGTCTCTCAGTTGCGGGCCCAGACCGAAATCATCACGCGAACCTTTTCTTTTCATGAGATTATCAAAACTATTTGTAAGAGAGCGTTTTGCTTTCATAAATATCGTGCTACCAACACCGACGCTTAGATATTGATTAAGAAATTCACTCCTGCAATGTAAAAACATTGTGTCAGAATGCTTCATTTGTAAACTATATTTTGATACTAATAGAAAATTGTGTTTACATATCCAGTTTATAGTGCATTACCTATTTTCAGCCGTATCATGTACATGTCTAGCTTGTTTCGACTCGCAATGAGCACGCAATAGTCGCATTAAGAATTGATTTTGCTCTCGTAAACTTGAGGAACTTACGCCAATGTTACCCGCAGCCTCGGCGCCCTTATACTTGCTCACAACGATTTCCTGCTCATCCTCCGGTAATAACTCCATACGGGAAAAGATAATACTTTGAACTCTTCTATCGTTTTGCCCTAAAAACGTGTGTGATATCTTAGATATATATAAAATTACATCATTTTTATAATATATAATTTAAATTACCTTCAATTTCTTGGCATAATTTATTATACCAATACATAGGACAGTGATCGCAAGAAAATACAGGATACCTCTCCTTTCTTACAACATCGCAAGTCGTAAGAAAAGCTTGACTAATTGCTGTGAAGAAAAACAGAAATTAGCATAACAAATAATAATTCTAATAAGAAGAATAATAGTACATGAGTCTTACTGTGTTATAGATAAATTAAAAAATCTTGCCTGCAACAAGGTCATCGGCGACTGATCCGGATTGGCATTTGAAGACATATCCGATGAAATATTCCGATTCTTTGCAAATAAATCCAAAGTGCTCAGGGTTTTTTATGCCTTGTGCGCAACTGGCTACGTCTTTTAATTGTTTATGCAGAAGAATCTGCTTTCTGTCAGGGCTAATCAATCTCAGATCAAATCGCCCTACCTAAAAAATATAACATTTATGTATAAAATATTTATGTATATAAAACATTTATGTGTAAAACATTTATGTATAAAAAATAAGTCTAAAGTCGTATCGTTCTTTCTTCTTTTTTTTGTTATTATTATATAAATACGATTCTTTTGTTATATCTCTTTTTATATATTTTAAAATCTCACATGCGCTTAATTATTATACTATAATAGATTATATATATATATATATATCTCAATAACGATCATAAAATAATTAATATCATTACAAGCGAAGTGCAATAAGAATAAAGACATTTCTCTTATATTCCATACCTGAAAAACCATAGTGCGATTGTGATCATCGTTTCCTTTAATAGTAGAATCTCTTCTGCCGCTTAAAACACTGCCAGTAGATGCCGCGCGATTTCGCATAATTTCAGGTACAGTGATATTAGAAGTAGCGGAAGATTCGGATGTCCGATTCCCATCACGACCATCGTTTTCTGCAGGGTTGGTAGTTGTTCTTGGAAAAGTCTCCACGGAGCTACTTAAGACTGGCGGTATTCCAAGCGGATTCACGCTTGGAATTATACTATTTCCTGACACGTTCTCAATACTGCCTGATTCACTGGCGGTAGATTCCTGAAAATATAACGATAAATTTCCTTTTTTACTAATTATAAGTATGAAAATCATTTATCTGTTCGTAATAACTATACGATCATAAAGACAAATAGAAGAAATATTTTTCACGGCATTATCCATCATAAAAAGAGATTAGTAATGCCAAAATTAAAATTTTTTTATTGCTATAACATAAATAATTTCTAATTCAATGTATCACAAATGTCTAAAACAGGAGTATTTGATCACAGAGAAAGTTTAGTTCTTACCGTACTGTTTCTCCTATTAATGGAAGACATCAAAGCTTGACGTTTCAACCGCTGGCAATCTGACAGAAGATTACTTGTTGAAGATCTCGATTTTTCAAGTCCATGAACGCGAAACTTTATCAAGGCATCGTCAATGAATGATTCTGGTACTTTTGGACTCGATACTTTGATTTTGCCAATATAGAATACCTGAAATCCAAATGCAAAAAGAATGTGGAGACATCATTAATTCTCAAGTTTTAGACGATTAAAAGATAAGTAAAGATCGATAATAGCAAAGTTTTCTTTTTAATTCATTATTTATTGTTTTACTGACGTCCTATATAATGAAATAGACTCTTTTCGGATAATTATTATATATAAATTATTGTAAACTATTATAAGGAAAAATATAAAAAAGGATAATTACTTCAAAGAATTGGGAAGAACTCGGAGATATATCGGCACCTATAGAAATTAAGCTAGCCGCGCTGCTCTGCGACCGCTGTGGCAAGTCCTTATCTCTCTCCATTCGTTGGGCTGCCGAATGTTCCTTCATGTCTTTCAAGGACTCTTTACAAATCTGCAAATAAAACATTACGGCATTAATTATATAACTAGTATTAACGTGATGAACTATTATCAGAACATATATTGTTAAAGAAGAAAAAATACTTATAAAAAGAGAAAGAAAACAAACAACTGACTTTGTTTCAAATGAGACCAATTAGTAACAGATTATGTTTCTTTTTTAAATAATACATACAACATGAAAGATATTAATTGCTATTAAGTTTATAATTAAAAATCCTTTTAAATTTATTCACTTTCTTCATTACTTTATTTATAGAAGTATGACTTCGAGTAGTAAAAAATTCGTTATTTAGTGCTTTTTATTATTTTAATTACAAGAAATCCTATTGATTTAATTAATATTTTTATTATTACATTTTTTTAAAGTTATATTTCGCTATGATAAAATGCTAATTCCTAAAAATTATTTGTAATGTAATTTTCTCTGTGTGAGAATATTTTCGTGAAAAGAATATCTGATTTAGAAATAATTCAAGATATAAAACATTATGACGGGACTGACCATTGATATACTAAACGGATTTCGCAAGGAAACGTGCATTAAACGTGGCCGATGGCCGTGGACAGAAATAACTTATTTCAGCAGCACTCGTGGACTGCATGGCTCTCATCCTCCGTCTTTGTTTCGAAAGAGCTCTCTCTCTCTCTCTCTCTCCTTCTAATTTCTTCCCACGTTCCACATCTGCTGCTCATCGTCTTTGTGACTTCGGACTTCGTCCGAAAAGATGCTTTAATTTAGCTCTTTATACATATATATGCATACATATGTATGTAGAATGCATAATAATAACAAAGATTCGGCGCATCAAAAGAAAATTATAATGAATTATAAAAAAAGAGAAAGAGAAAAAAGAGACGTAATAAAAATAAAAGTAAATTAAGATTTTGAAAGATCTAATTTAGAAATATTGTAGAAATATAAATAATTTACGATTAATGGGAGAATCATTCAGAGAAGAAAAATTAATTAAAAGCGTAAGTATTATAATATAATATAATAAAGAGAGAGAGAGAGAGGAGAGAAAATTAATGTCGCAGAATTAAAAAAATCCTCTTTATGTGTTCAGTTAAATATATTTTGCTGCTTTTCATTTTGCAGCAATTGTTTTCATAACTGCTTATTTCAGAAACCTTGGATTTTTTTCAATATACATATGTAATATCACTTGATTTCGGAAAGTCCGTTTGTTTTTTTTCGTACTTGATGTTATTATTCATATTTACGACGTGGGATTGAGAGCGACATAATTTTCCTAATGAGTTCTTTACGGCCAATAGGCACGCAGATGAAAATTATAGAGAACAGGACAATAGCGAGGATATATTATACTTATTATGATAATAGTGAAATCTTTGTATAATGATAATTGCAATTTCCGACGACATGTTCGCATAACGATGATCCTTTTGCGAAAATGATTGCTCAAAAATATTTTGATTTATCGCGAATATTTGACCAAATACTGGAAAAGCTCGCCTGTTTAGTGACATAGAAAGAAGATACTGAGTTAATAGAGGGGCTTCCAGTATCCAATTAAGGCACAAGCTTTATTACGTTCCTTTCTGTGTTCCCGCAAAGTTGTGCAGCATTATTGGCATTCGATAGAAGCGTATCACGGTCCTTCGTAGAATTTATTTATCAATTTTTCATTATACGATATCACAAGTACATTATTAGGAATTTTCCATTAAATAACGTAAAATAATTAATCCATCAAGGAAAAAACAAAAATAAAAATACATACAAAAATGTATAAGTTTTATGATATAATCTCTACAGGGGCATTTTAGTAATGTTCGAATATTATATTATAATATATTGTACATTGTTTACTGGAATAATGTTTTACAACTTATAATAAATACACTTTATAAACATAAAATTATGATTTTAATTTTAGAAAGATAAAGGTCTTTAGATTTCTTTATCAAAAAACCACGTACATATCTTTCTTAATACAATTCGCCGGGCAATGAAAATAGACGTTCGAACTATTCTATCGATGCTATTTTCTTCTGGCACTTGACACTTTGCGTGCGCATGGAGGCTCATACATTTGACTTTGTCTCTCGTGCTCAATTGATCGAATTAATTTTGTTGGCGTACGTCATCAGATGATGCACGAATCGATGCCATGAACGTGCGATTAGATTCACGTGCGAGAGCAAACTTAATGCGTGCGTGAAGCCGAGTTTCGTTTCAATTGAGACGATATAATCGGTCGTTCGTTGATGGATATATTTCTACTCAAGGATGAGCGCGATGTAAATTGCGTGAAAAGACCATATATTTTGATTGTGTTTAATTTTCTTGAAGATTATTAAACAAGTTTTTAATTCGTTGTTATATAGCTGTAGTAACCCAGCGTTATTAAGGTGAAATATTAGTATGATAAACCAGATATTATAAACTTAACGTTATTTCAAATGTTCTATTTTGTTCTGTTCTGTTTTGTTCTGCATCGGCCATTAATACAAATTCTTAAAATTCTTAAACCTTAAGATAATTGTATTAATATAATTTGAGTCCAAGAACCAAACTTAACTTAAAATATTTTAAAAATGTCATTTTATTACAATATTTAAGCACTTATTGTTAGATCAGCTAATATTGAATAAATTCTATCTTATACTGTTAGTAATTGCGTTACAAATTTTCTCTAACAATAAGAGTTGAAATATTTATGTTAAACTTATACATAAATTTTAATGTTAAAATTAATATTTGATGTTAATATTACTAAAGTTGTTAGTAATAAAAAAAAATATTTTTTCGTTTTTATTGGAATAATTATAATATAACGTTTTCACATATAACGGAAAGAAGATTAGTCTTATTTGTGTTTTATAATACGCATGAAAAATTACAAGGTGTGTCAAGGTTGTGCATAAAAACAGCTAGAGAAAGGATACGAGTGCAACAAATTAGACGATATTAAGCCAATATAAAGAAGGTAACTTGGAATAGTATATGTATGTTCCGACTGCTTCACATTTGTAGACATTATTAACATGTATGTATATGTGTTTAAATACACATGCACAGTCAAGTAAAAACGATTATGTAAACTGTTAAGGTCGAATCGGTATCGATTTCGCTTTTTGCTAGATTTCGATTTAACATAAATTTCCGAGTATATTATGCAAACGTGACTCCACATACAAAATTGCATAGAGCAGTACAGGAAAAAAGTATTTGTCGGAACGTGTAACTACATTGTATGCCTTAAAAACGTTACGCGATCCGTATTTTATCGTTGCGAACTACTAGTTATTGTTAATTGCGATGAGCAGTGCTGTGCATCTGAAGAGTTCTACATTGACAGTAATTATGTGTAACAGAAGGGTCGAAATGCGAGGAGCTAATTTATTCCTCGTGCGAATCTCCTTCGACACATGTTGGGACCAAAGAAAGAATCATTATCGTCTTTCTTTCTCCCACGAACGACCTCGAGGGCTGTACAATGCTTCATTAACAGTCGCGCTGAAAGCACGATTATGTAAATGCACATACGAGAAGAATAATAACGTATTAATTACTAATAATTAGCGATAATGGGATAATTGTGTCACTTATGTCACTTTTGATCGTCAAGTTATTATTAAAATGGGATTCCCGAAAATAGAATTTTATGTTGTATTGATTGAGCAACAATGAGTAATTATCGGAAACGTTATAACTCATCATTTTGGTTAAAAAGTCTTGACTATTAACTCTTTGCATTTCATGATTTTAATATTTTGTTCTACCAGTTCTATATAAAAACAAAAAGGTTCTGTAATACAAATTTTAAATACTTTTCTTAGAAATAAGTAATACGAATATATTAGATATTTTATAATTAATATATTTAAAAAATAATTTTAGTTTAAATTTTAATAATGTATAATATCACTTGAAGAATTTGCCCAGTTGAAGAGTCTAGGTTTCCTTTCACATTAAATTTAAATTTGTTAAATATTGACATAATAACGAGAAATATTGATATACACAACATGAATATTATAAATCATACAATAAGCAAAAATATTTTTTAATAAAAAAAAAATACAAAAAAGCATGTTCCGTCTAGCTTGATCGATCGTGGTATCGATACTGGTAGAATGAAATATATCTCGTGACCAGCACATTGTGTGTGAAGTCTCAAGTGTTGAAGTCACAACTTCATTCTTTTAACTGCTTCTTGGAAAAATAATTAGTAAAGATACCAGATGAATGTTTGAGATGTTGTGTATACTCGAGTATTAACAATATTAAACAGAACATCTTGAGTTGTACAGTAAATAATTCATCATGTATAATTATATGCAGATAATTTGTCCTAATCCGTTCACGAATGGCTAAATCTTTACCTGATTTGGTGAAGTTTATTCAAGCATAACGATATAATACTTTATAACAGCTTCACGCAAATGAAATCGTATTTAATATTCGATAAGTTTGATGTAAATTACTCATATTTGATATGAACTTGCTTTTATATAAATTAATTTTTTAAAAAAGTTCGTTATGTACACATAATTATATAAGACAAAGTAATTAATTTATGTGTATTTCTAAATTGTATAACTTATAAACTGTTATAATTAAGAAAATACATATATATATCTATAACTATTCACCTATAAAATTTTAGTTTTATCTATTAAAAAACAGCATAATTTGTACATAATTATAATTGGACCTAACATGACTGGATTTGAAATATTTTTTCAAATTAATTCTGCATAAATCAACGAATATTAATATTACATTAAGCTAATTTTTGCTGTAAGAAGTGGAGCAATAAATATTCGAGTAAACTTCGGAAACTAATTTTATCAGCACGATAGTTTATTGAGATGCGAAATAGTGTGTTATATATATATATATATACAATATATTATATTATATTATATATTATATTATATTATATTATATGTATATAAATACGCACGGAAAACAAATCTACTAGTATTTTCCTCGATGCACAGATATAAATAATCAAATTTTCTGTATATTTTTCCGCGTAATTTACGCCTACGATTTATATCGCATGTGACAGGCAGTGTGATGGCAGCGAAGTATAAGTGATCTCAGAAAAACCTGCTGGTTACCATCGCCCACTGTCATCTGCATACGTAGTAAACATGAGGTTGACGAAATAAGACGAAAAAAAAAAGATATTAACTTATAATGCAGTGTTTCTCAACGTTTTTTAAATTCATAATCATCTTTCGCTCTTATATTCTATCTTTCCTCTATCGTTTTCTATTTTCCTTCATCATCTTTTCCATCCCTATCTTCTTTTTACAAAAGCAAAAAAAATCAATATCGATTGTGGTTGGTGAAAGATTGATGGTCTTATTAAAAATTTGGTGTGTTCCATTTAAAACTCCTGATCGGATATTTAGATTGATGGCGTCAGAAACGAGGAGATGCATAATGAAAATTGTTACAAAAATTTCTATATATTAAAAAATAACGTTTTTTTTTATAAAATAAATTTGCAGTTGATAGAGTTTTGTAAAATATAAAAACTCTCCTTTTATTTCGAAATATAATAAAATTAGATTTTTATCTCAGTTCGACAGCTATCATAAAGTTTGTTTTGTTTTTAATCAATAAAATAAATATACGGATATAAATATACAGTTTATTGAATTATCGGAATATAGGAGACTTTTAGGTATATTTTACAAATCTATTCTAACGATTGCAATGTTGTTTTATTAAAAAATATTTACATTTTAATGTAATTTTTTTGCAAGAGTTTTCTTTATATATTTTTCTTACTTTTGACGTCACAATCCAAGATGGCTGCATTAAGTAGTCAGGAGCCTTGCTACATTTTTTATACGTGTTAATAGAAATGCATTTCTGGAAGGCCATACAAAAAACTATTCTCGATAAATAAATACTTCGATCAATCAATTATCGGATCATTTTACCGTCAGACCGTCGTTCATAGTTATTACCGTGTTCCCGAGTGGCATGCGAAGATCGCCACTTAAAATTCTCATCACGAATACGATTACATAGATGGTGCAGCTTCAGTTGCTTTCAGTAATTGATACATGCAAAGTTAATATGGGTTCTTGGGCTAGGGAAGTAATAATTATCGAATGTAACGGTCATTGATATGAATACCTGCTCATTATACAAGCATATCGAACATCGTAGAAGCACAATAAAGGCTTTATGTTACAATTAAGTTCCATGAATCACGTTAAGTAGATTCATTGCCAAGTTACAGCTTTTGCAGAATTCATGTACAGGTATGGTCCATGTGCGACACGCTTGCGTATGTGAATTAGTTGCCAATTTTCATATTTTCATGATTACGTGTCTACGTAAAATTATCTTCAGTGTTACTGGAGCTTTTGCCAGAGTCAGTGGGACTTCGACCCAGACTTTGGCCAGACCTTCCGGGAATTCCGTCTATGAATAAAATGAAAATTGAGACGGAAAACTTGATAATTTTTCAATGCACATTTCCTTTGCTAAATCTTGTAACGCACGAGACGCACGATTATGCAAACACGAGGAATCGATAATTCGGACAGGAATGTCGGACGATAGAAGCATTTGTATTTCTTACGAGGGAATCGGAACACGGTCAGTCAACGGTTGGCTGGCAGCTGCTGACTTGGGATTTTGCTTGTCCGGCGAAGTAAATTTAGATCGTTCTACGCTCGGTTTCGCGAAAATACGCCTTTCCGTTAGCGGAAGGAAGGAAAAAAGGGACAAGGCATAGTGATTTAGAAACGAGAGAACGTAATCGTAGAGTAGTTTTTTTGAACAAGATTGTAAAAATCTGAAATTTTGTCGTATATTACTAAAGCAGATTTTGATAAAGGATGTCAAGGTTTTGCTGCTTTTCGGGCCAAAATGAAAAAGTTTCGAGATGTACAGATTATATATTATATTAAAAAATTACTCAAGTGGAGTTGAAAGATACATCGCTTATCTTGAGGAAACATCGGGAACATGGAAGAAATCTTTACCAACAGCGATAAATTAAAAAATTGTTAAGTAAGATATCGCGAGAATTAAGCAACAAAAACTGCATTGCGATTCAAATACATATAACTTGATAAACATATTCGTTATTCAAAACCAAATGATTATTTTATATCAGACTTCGTTGCTCGAAAATCTCCAAGTTAGAAGTGTTGTAACACTTGTAACAATACAGTCCTTGCTTAAATTCTTGGAATGTCTTGATGTCTTATATTTAACAATTTTTTTATCAATAAAGTTATGACAACATTAAATTTATTGACTTTTATATCACGATTTCTCCTATATTTCTCTAAAATAAGCAATACACCACTCGATTCTATTCAAGTAGCCCTTTAACATGATATACAATTTGAACATCTCGGAGTTTTTTCACTTTGGCCGAAAAACAGCTAAAACTTAACATCTTTTCTTTTGCGAATATCTAGATGGAAGTTTTACGGACTTACAGCCATTAAAATAAAGGAAAAAAAATAAAGTAAGCGTGTTGCAATTAGTAAAATATTATCTGCAACAATTTTTTAATTTTTAATTTTCTGTATTTGATGGACGTATAAGAGAAATGCAGTAAATAATATAAAGTAAATTGAGAGAAACGGATGAGTTTTCGATGGCACTTAAAAATAGTGATTATCGATTTTTGGCAAAGATAGAGCGATGAAGTATGCGATAATGATCACTGGCAGATTTCCTGATGAGAAATCTAGGTGATGAATACATAATGAAGAAAATTAATAACGCTGTCATTTGTCACGACGTATCAAAGTAACACGTTCCACTCGGTCGCATCGGGTTAACTCTAATTAACCCATTGTCGCGCGTGTCGTCAGCAATTATGGTGAAATTCCTTGGCATCCTGGACGAAGGATATAAGTAAACAAAATTTTCCACATAATAGTTCATCTACATTTATGTAACGTTTATCTAATTTAAAAAAGATTAGAAAAATTCTGATAGTATAAAAGATATTTCAAGATTACCTAATACGCATTTAAATTACAGTAATACAGAAGATTTCACAAATTCAAAATTTAGTATGTTAATTGGTATCATTAAAAATATTAACTCAGTTTTTCCCGAAAACAATTTTACGATAAAAAGACAAAGAAAAAATGTGGAAGCTGTTTACTTCATTTATGAGTCATTTCAGAGATGCAACAATAGAAAATTACGTAAATGACTTTAGCGGTCATGAACAACTGAATGATTTGCTGAAGCATGCAGTTTCACTAAAACTATCAATGCAAAGTGAACAAACACGCTACATATCATTACCAATCACAGGTGCACTTACGTAATTACGAAATTTACGTAAGTCAGAAATATCGAGGATAGTATCAAATGTGATTTTAATTCTAACGTCGAAAAAAGAAAAATGGTTGTGTCACTCGACAAACAAAGTACACGTACTTGTGCATTCGGCAAAAGATGATCTTCCGCTGCCCTGACCAAGGGCTCCTTAGCGACCTTATTGCCGTCGCTGTAAGATCTGTAGGGACTGGAGGCTGATATTGGTACCGTTATCATCTTGACTTCTGATCCTTCGCGCAATAAACTTCTAGCCTTATTCTACCGGTCTCATGCGAAATAAATTTGCACACTTTATTACACTCGATTACCTGGTACCTGTTTGTTCAAAACAACACAATCTTCAGCTTGTCATCGAAATGTCATTGACCGAGATCAGAAATAAATCTTTCTTTTTTTAATTAACAACTTTTCCTAGTTTAAGATTATTGAATACGATTGTTACGTTAGATATTTTTGAAATTTGCTTTTAATAGTTGAAAACATTTTTCTAAAAGCAAAGTGTAACGAAAAATATTGTAAAAAATACTAAGTGAAAACGCTCTTGAACATAATCGATCTGTGAAGATATAATATATAAATTTATAGCCATAAAAGCAATCAATAGAACTAGTCGAAAATTTTCATAATTTTGCTAAGTTATCGACATTTGTGTACTTTCAACATTTTTGCGTGATAGAATCGAACTCAAAGGTAATTTGAATGCAAAGTAACGCGACCTGTTCTTGCAATTAATTTTTATTTGTAAATATTTAATATAGGCAAATTGTAATAATGCTAATCCCGATAACAAGACTCTTATTATTAAAATTTATCCGAATTAAACTTACGATAAAATCTGAACTACATCACTGCTTTATTTTTCCAACGTCACCGCGTCAAATTCTGCATGAATTTGTTCGTGATTTGAGAGGTGATCTTGTTTTTTCCGTGGCACTTGCAAAACGTGTTTTCGTAGTTCACGTTGCGTCGCTCGTCGTCTTCGCTGACGGCCGAGCAAACATAGACTGACGTATTGGAGCACGGCGACGCCACGAGACGAATGAACCACTCGACTGGTGGTTGCGCGCTGTCAGGTAATGCACGGTTCCTATTTAGCACGTCCAATATTCCTCAAATGTGAAAACAGTGGCGCAGTTACGACTCGGCATTAGAAGGGGTCGGCAATCATGATTCTCGGAGCGGATTACTCGCCTTCCAGGCGAGATATTTCCGCACGACTGATTCTACTTTAACCTTCAGAGGGAGTCCTAATTATTTCTTGAGCGAGGTTCAAGTATTTCGCCTTTAATTACGTCTAAAGGGTTTAATATGAATTATTATTATTTGAACTTTTATTATTTGAAGGGATTTAATCTTTTTAGAAAGTCCAAAAATATAGTTTGCTGATCATAATCACATACTTTGAAAAAATGTCTGGTTGAAAATGAACGAAGATTTTGATTATATCCATCAGAGTTCCGGTTATTACAACTAGAGTTTAATAGATTCAATGAGAAACTTTTCATCGTCCACTTTCAATCGAAATTCCAATTAATCTAGTTAGATATTTTTCTCAATGTACTGATTCACGTGAGAGAGGATGCTTGAAAAATGCGAAAGAGTATTAATTTGTAAAGTATTATTACCAATAAAGAACGAAAAGGATGATGCATGCAGTCCGAAAATAAATTTTAAAGATTTACGGTACAATTTTAAATTAAGAAATTTTATAATTTGAATAAAATTATAATATGAATTAAAATACAAACAAAGAAGATGATTTCGGTCTTCTTGCGGATGATATTAATATTTCTTGTATTTATACAATCTAGATACGTGCCTGTTTTGACACGGTAGATCTTTATGTATTATCATACGTTCTCGCATTTATGCAGTAACAACACTCGTCGCAATTTACATATTCGTATTATCACGAGTGTATGTGATGTGTCTTTCGTAAACGGAGATGAAGCAGCGAGGTGATAGAGCGCGTTTGGTGCCAGCGATGCATAATCAGTTTGTTCCACCAAGCGACTGCGATTGTATACGGAATGGAGCGATTTTGTTGGAGATGAAATAAGAATACCAATGCGTGTGTGCCAGTGAACCATGAAAGGTCCTTTCGTTTCTTTTTCTTGTAATTGCGTAAGCACGCCTAGTGATACGTTACTGTTGCACTCGTGAAGGACGTATTGAGCGTCATTTTTAATCGTTTATGCAGCCGACGTTGAAAAGTGTAATGGAAAAAATAACACACAAAACATTTCAAAATTGTAAATAACGACTAAAAAATAATAAAAAGTTTTAAGATTTTTCCTGCATAGTTTAAAATATTTCTAATTAGTTCGACATTATATCGTGATTATTAATTCTTTTTTATTTTGTCATTTGGCTATTAGTGTCATTAAAAATAATAAATGTCAGAAATCGCTTGATATCCTTGTATCATTGCATTTTGCATAATTTGAAACACATTTCAATAATATAAATAATTAAAATTGTATTTCTTTATGTTAGTGACCATGCGTTTAGTACAGGGCGCGGCTGGTCACGAGATAAAAAACGATAGGATCATCGGAGGATTAACGTTAATAGCTTAATAGAAAAAGTGAACAGAAATTGAATAGCAATGCTGGAAAATCCCAGCAGTGCGATCCCGCGTCATCCGCAAAAACCAATGTAGAAAACATCGATAATACATGAGAAAGGATATCTACATATGTAACATCAGCAAATCGAATTAGTACTCGTACATCGACCAGGAATCGATCAATATTATACTCATTGACTAGTGGTATCATGTAGATGTTGTAATAATGCTGTAATAATAACACTATGTTATTGATCCTAGAATGCTACTTTCACATTAATTTAAATCGATCTATTAAAGAGGTAGTTACACAACGTCTCTATCACTATCTTACTGACATTAAGAAAATAAAACTTGAAAGAATGGAATATAATCACCAATTATGCTTTACTATTTCTTGATATTAATTGCTATATCATAATTAATAAAAATATTTTAATTATTTAATATCACAAATATAATAAATAACTAAATAAATAAATATGTATATATATTATATATATATACACACAACATATATATCCTTTTATACAAAAAACATACTAAATAAAAACATAAAATACAATAAATAGGTACTAAATATTCGTAAATTATTATGCAGTAATCTATTTATTCTGAAATTAAATGTATAATTCGCGGAAACGTAATAAATTGATCTCAACAAAGAAACAGAAAAATAAAATAAATTGATTACCATTAACACACTGGTTACTGCATGATAATCCACAACTGGTGTTTGACTTTTCAATAGCGCTTTGGTAGTCACTATAGTAATCGGCGATATCAAATTTTTTTAAAACGCTTGCAAAAAAAGCAAATCATCTAATAACTGAAATTTATAAGTCTGTCATTTTTAGCTAAATTTCTGCACGATTCATCTTTCCCCTTTCTTTCTCTATGTTGGACAAAAAGAGATAAGATCAATAATCCAAGAAATTTAGCTGAAAAGAACGGACTTATTGATATAAATAGCCAAATGACAATGTAAAGTAAAAAGTGTGCTATTCAACACGATACTCATAAAGATATAGTATTACACAGAAAGAACGATTTTGCTGAAATATTAAAAAATTCAGCTAAACAGATCTGAAGATAATCATGTTGGAGCATCGAAATAATTATACGTAAAAATCTCAAGCATAATGAGCAAGGCTACAAAAAGTTTTGACGTTCTAGCAACTAGTTTGAATATTTTATACATAATTATTTTCATGATTATTTTCATAATTCAACAAAATTATTTTCAGATTTGTATCTAAATAGCTAAATTTTTAGATACTTCAGCAAAACTTTTTTTCATGTACTTAATCATAATATTTGACTTATGATAAAAAAATTTCATTATGACGTATGCAATAAGACATACAAAACTCGTTAGACAGACAACAGGTTGTTCTCTTCAGTTGAATTTCTTGCATTGTCCTTTTTTTCTCCGTGGAGAGAAAAAGAAGAAAAATGAACTGTAGTTCAAGAAGTTCAACTGAAAAAGAGCAGACCTAATATATTAATCTAAAAAAAGCTTATAAGTATAAACTTTTTGTGTGGATGCAATGCATTTAATTTTGCGTGCAAGAAAATAGTTATATGCAATTATAATCGAGATATTCTCGTGTTATCTTATTGAAGCTTACTCATAATGAGGCATTGACAGGTGTGTTTGTGATATTTATCATTTTATTTTGATAATAATAATAATCTATGAATTAGACTGATATCAATCCAAATTGCTTTTTTGAAACTTTCGAAAAGATAAGCATAAGTCGTATTCTTGCTAAAAATAGTACAAACGTAGTACGACGTTATCTCTCTCCACTGAAATATTGCAATTAATTGAGTTTATAAATGTATTTTCTTTTTACACAGCGTTTATTATTACTTTTTTTTCGTAATAAATAGTGTACAGTGTTCGAGAGTCACATAGTGATGTAATAGAGATTTTTGCAAAAGAACATCACTTTTAGAATATTTAAAAAATGTTACATTCGAAGAGAATTTCAAATTTCTTTTATAACCGTACGATGAAACACAGACTCGAGTGTGATGGTCGCAATATAGAGTATACGAGCTATATTTTATCGGCGATAATAAAAAAAACAGGAAGAACTAGTAGCTGTTTTTTAATTATTCACTTATTTGAATCGTTTATAGACTATCGTTCAGATATTAACGTATATAAACTACGTTGTTTACATGTAAAAGCTTAATACTAATTTAGCATGCGTTTATCTTCGCGTTTCAGCTGGTCTAGCAACAAGTACAACAGCGCCAAAAGGTAAAACAAACATAATAACAACAACTAAATATGTTATATAACGCCCAGCTAAACATTTATCACGGCTAAACAGCGTGAGTAATAAAGCTGTAAATAACTGCATATCAACAATAGTCTAAACTCGACAATAAACGAAAGAATATAACTCGCAAATGTAAACCGTATAACTATAATGACAATACAATATTAACAATTAGTATGCAATTAAATTTCGATATTTAGATGTTTATTTGAAAATACGATATTTTGAAGTGTGGAGTCAACAGATTTCTAGAGAAATCTATATTTCAAGTTGTGACAGTTATTTTGCTATAAAATAATAATAATAAGTTGTTTTCGCAAGTAATAATAACGCTAAGTCTGACACGTGCGTAAAATGCGTCGAATCAAGAATCGGATGGCTAAGTTTCAGCTTCAGGCGCGAATACATAAAATTTTGCCGGTGGTTCACCTCTTTCGGGTATGTGGTGTGGCGGTCACGAGAGAGGCGGCCACTTACCGAAGGTGCGCTTTTTCGCTCCCTCTCTACCTGTCCATTCGAAAATCGGCGTCACTTTAAAGTCGCTCCTGTCGACTTTCACCGTGCGATTTCGCGAGGCGGAGCGAGGTGAGGTGAGACGAAGCGAGACGAGCGAGATATTTGATTTAAATGCCTCGTCGCCCGTGTTACGCGGCACCGCACGAAAGACGCGAATTAACTCCACGACACGAGCTGGCAATCCGCGAGCGGTAGTCCTGACGATTGTTAAGGACAAACTTAATAATAGTCGCGGTGAAATGACGATATATGGCGTCCGTGGAACACGATTGGCTGCTTAGCGAGCAGCGATTGGCTACTTTACATATATATATATACTATATAGACGACAATCAGAGTCGTAGGAAACGCGTGCACCAGAAGCGATTCGAATTCTGAATTTAAATGCGAGAACGAGTATAATGACAAATAAGATGACAAGACGACATGATTCGATTAGCTTTTAGTATAAAATTAAGTTTAGAAATTTTTTACACTTGGGAAAGCGCGTGTTTTGAAGTATAATAGATTGAAACGCTAAATTTTTAAATGTAAAAATGAGAGCAAGACGAATGCAATGACAAATAAGATAATAAAACGATATAATTTGATTAGCATTTGTTACAAAATTAAGTTTAGAAAATTCGATACTCACTTGGAAACGCGTATTTTGAATTTTAAAATTGATACACTCAGAGAAAAAAGTCGTATCAGTAACTATAAATTTGTAGTGAAATAGCGCCTCAACTATATACATATTATTAAATTCTAATAAGAATACTAGATTAAGTGAACTAAGAAAATATAGTACATTAACCATATAATCAATTTATAAATGGTTAATATTACTATATTTTCTTAGTACACTTAATTTACTTATTGTTGTTATTAAAGCTTTATAATACATAGTTACAAATTTATGTATGC